ACTTTTTGATAAAGACACCTTTTTTTTGTTAATAAGAGTTGTTATGGTTACTCCGATGTGCTGGTGGAAACGTTATTCGGTTTCAATTATGTATAAGGTGGGCTTTACGATACGTAACAACGTCAGCTGTGCTCCTGTATTTCGCGCAACACTTCAGGTATATTTCACCACGCCCACAGGTTGAACGCATGCGCACGAGGTAGGATGTAATTCGTTAACCCAAACCAACTCTAGTCTACGGTAAAGTTCAATATGATCGATATTTTTATCATGCCATTCAAAATTTCTTCTTGCTTTGTTATTCATATTATGATTTAACTGGAGAGAAGCAAGCGCACTAATTTAATATACTACTGTATGTAGTCTAGTCTCACAAAGTCGGCAGAAAAGAAGTTCAATATACCACGTCATGTATATAGGCTAGTCTCACACAGTTGGCACGAAAGAAGTTCAATATACCACGTCGGGGTAGCAGCACGTGCTTTATGTATTATTTACCAACAGTTGGTTAAATGCCAGTGGTTGTAAATTTGATATGACTTCTTAACTTTGACATCAATCACAAATTGGTAACAAGTTGCCTGCTGATGGAATAGCCTTACCTTCACTGAGTAACTTGTAAGTAATTCGTAATGATGTAATTAATGTAGTACTTGTTACAGCTCAACTTCAAAATATCTCATATTAATGTGATTATTATTGCGAATCAATAGTTAATTCTGTTTTTATGATATGAAATATTATTGCTCCTCGCATAAGGTAATCAAACTCGCACTGTGACCAGCAATAAAAAAAAACAAGGTTGAATGTTTGATAGAAACGTTTACGAAGTTACTAAACAGCTATGTCTTCTTATGGTAAATTTAAGTAATTTTTCTTATACACACACACACAGATATCATTTTTTCATAATAATAATAATAGAAAGGTAGTGGACTGCTTTAATCATGCATCTAAATATACTTTTGTTATAATAATAATAAAGGTAGTGGACTGCTTTAATCA